ACATCTCGCCTTTCAGTTTAAAGTTTTTTACGCTAAGTGTTTTAGGATTCGCCGAATTGAAGAGACAGCGTCTGTCGTAATGCTTCAGTTTGTTTCACCTCTTGAAAGGAAAATGAAGATTTAACCCTTTAACTGTCGCTCACATTTTTGAACACAGACGTGAAAGTGCACTGTCCAAACTTACATTTTTATAATTCATGAACGAAAACATTTTGTAACATGATATTGATGTACCATTTTCATGGTAATGCAATGTTTGATTTTAAAATGGGTTTCAAAGGATGAATTTTGAGATTTAAAGTTTTCAATTGATATATAATTTCTGATGATTTCTAAAGTGTGACTTTTTTTGACAAAGGTCAGAACTCCTGATATGATGTAGATTTTTGAGGTGCACTCTTGTCATAAATTAATCTATTACTTTTCCTACATAATTTTTTTACAAAAACATTGGTAAAAAATCTATTTAGGAGTCTTAGACCTTTCCAACGATATATAGTTTGTCATGATTAGATTAGGATTTAATTGTAATATAGTGAAGTAAACTTAGGCGTCCCACAGAGGGGACGGGTGACAGTTAAAGGGTTAAAGCTCAGAGACACAGGCTTGCGCCTATAAAACTGGATTTAGAGTTGTCCCAACACTTTTACGATGTGGACAGATAAACACATCAGCCGCCTTTTATAAGGACGTGAATTATCGGCCACGATGAAAGCGCAGCTGTCTCTCTTTTATATATCGGTCTCATTCTTCATCTCCTAGATGCTTTGCAAAATACGTTATCGTTATTTCTCTGCCAGAAAGACACTTGTAAAGTATCCTGCAGTTGTAGTGAGCCCCACTGTATGATAGCATAAAGAAAACGCTGTTTATTAGTGATCTGCTCATACGGAAAGAATTTCGTGTTTCTTCATGAACTTAAATTCACCCCGAGCTTTCCCTGCTATCATCTCACCAAATTCATGCTGAAATCTGTCATCATCCTAACAAAAGAAACCAACTCAGGTCTTCAGGATTCTGCTGCCTGCAGTATTTACTTCCTACTCTTGTATTTTCTAAAAAGTAAACGATTTTTAAGGCGATGTACACTGGACTGGTCGACCAGTAAGATAGATGTGACTCAGGATTTTTAGATGTGATTTGAATGTGCCATAATTCCCTTAACACTGTGTCTTTGCTCTTTGTAATGATTTTGATGGGTTTGTTAAATAAAGCATCTTTTGAATGAGTGTTTTGTTATTATTTTGTGGTAAGTGTAGGGCCTACTTGAATGCACTAAAAATAATTCAATACTGAAAGTGCATTAGTAGTAGCCTACATTCTTATTTTTTGTGCTAAATAAAAATGAAGTTATACACTATAAATACACTAATTAAACGTATATTTCTACATCAGTACGTCAGTGCGATTAAAAAAGTCTAGGCTACTAAATACCACTGATATTTAAAGTCCCCATGAAATCAAAATTAAAGTTTTTTGGGTGTTAGTATCAACATGTTAGTCTTAAGGTTATCTATGAGGCAGTGTGCTCCAAAATTCACATTTAGGAGATATAAGCATTCAAAGCTTGCAGTTCGTCACTTCCGCCAAAACGGCTCAATGATTTTTTTTGACGTCACATCGTACTTAAGCTTCTCATCAAACTTTCTGTCCAATCAAATGCTCTCTAGAATCTGAAGCCCCGCCCCCTACACTATAAAATAGACGCTGGAGCCGCGGCTGAAATCGGTCACTTGTCCACAGAATCAGTATTTTCTGTACAGTGAATGGCACGTAGTGCACTATATAGGGGACAGGGAACGATTCAAACAGTGTAAATATGCTTTCCATTGAGGAAAAACAGAAGTCTGGTTTCGCGCGGTGTCACGCTCCGGTCCAGAGACATGATAGCACAGAACGGATCACATGCGCGAGTCCACAAAATGTATCGGAGCTATTTGAATTCTACACAGAATGCTATATTTTATAGCAATATGGATGGGATTGTGGCTGGCATACCCTGTCAAATGCGGCTTTACGGAGTTCAAAGGCTCTGAACGGCTCTAGCCCAAAGCTGTGATACAAACGAACGCTATTGGCTATTTTAAAAAGGGGCGGGGCTGCTTGATATGTCCCGCCCTGTCTTCCTGTTTCAGTTAAAATGACGTCAACACACAGAGTAACGCTGCGTGTTTCTAAGCATTTCAGGGGACCTTTAAATAGATATTTCCACTCAATTTCTCTACAGAACGGTTAACTTAAAGGTGGGGTAAGCGATTTCTGGTAGCCAATGTTGACATTTGAAATCACCAAAACAAACACGCCTCTACCCCAAAAGTGTCTCGCCCCTATTTTGATAGCTCCGCCCCACACATACGTACGCAACCCAGGCAGCGATTAGTTCTGTGAAACAAAGCAAAACTGCTGCTGCGTTCCATTCATGACGTACTGACACAAATTTCAAATGATTTTCAACGGTCGCTTTGTCGCGTCCAGTGTACTAGACAGACTTTAGCTGTTGCGGCGCAGACACAGTGTTACTCACCGATCGAGAAGAAACAAAGCAACCTCGGCGTCCGATCGCAGGCCTTCCACTCCTTGAGTTCTCTCCAGCGCTGGAAAGCTGATCCGATATTTACACGGGTCCTACTTATTGCCTTAAGCCTTCTTTTGTTCCGCAGACGTTTTCCTCTTTTGTTTTTTATCCGCCATCTTTATCTTTCTGTCGCTCGGCTTGCTAATGTCCATCCCGTGCACTGAACGCTCTCTCCTCCACAGCACGAGTAGACACGCCCCTTACTGCTGATTGGCTACAAGTTTGTTTTGCTATTCGGCCCGAATCGGTTTTCTAAAGCGTTTTTGAAAAATCACTTACCCCACCTTTAATATGCCTCATCAGGTCATCACAAATGACTGTGATTGGTCCGACCTGGCGCGCGCTGAGAAGTGTAACATCAGGCGTCTACACTCTTCAAAATAAAGGTGCTTCACGATGCCATAGAAGAACCTTTTTATCTAAATGGTTCCATCAAGAACCTTTAACATCTAAAGAACCTTTCTGTTTCACAAAAGCTTCTTTGTGGCGAAAGAAGGTTCTTCAGATTACTAAAAAGATAAGCAAGAGATGGTTCTTTAAAGAAGCTTTGACTGAATGCTTCTTTGTGGAACCAAAAATGGTTCTTCTATGGCATCGCTTGAAGAACCTTTCGAAGCACCTTTATTTTTAAGAGTGTACGTCAACCGCGGTCTCAATCCTGATACTGACGAAAATAATATTCCTAATTGCTCTTCATTTGAAAACACGCCGTTTAAAAATGCAATTAAATTATCGTTTATGCAAATCGTTGTATGTTTCATTGACCAGAACAAAAATGTTCTTAAAAACAGAGTGTAAACAATTGATTCATTAATCAAAAATGGTCTTCTTTGCTCTTTTATGAACAATGTTTTCCAAACTGGTGCAGTAGACCTTTGTCTCCTGTAGAAAACCCAAAATTTTTTCAAATCGTTGTATGTTTCATTGACCAGAACAAAAATGTTCTTAAAAACAGAGTGTAAACAATTGATTCATTAATCAAAAAATGGTCTTCTTTGCTCTTTTATGAACAATGTTTTCCAAACTGGTGCAGTAGACCTTTGTCTCCTGTAGAAAACCCAAAATTTTTGAAATTTGGCTTGGATCCTGGCCATTTCTTCTGATGTTGGCTATGTGAAATTTCCCCAAAGTAATAAAAAGTTGCACAAGTAAAGTGAAATTATTATTATTTTCATTGGAATAATACCTACATATATGAAACTTATTTAACTTGAATATAATATTTGTTTTCCTTCTAATGAAATTGTCCATATCCACCCAGAATACACAATAACAAGACTAATTTTCTAAAAATCACAGGAATAATCAATATCCAAATGAAATCGCTAGCAAATAACACTTTTAGCTGAATATATACCATGTGAAATTGTAACCTCTTTTACTTTATTATTTAAACAGTATATTTCACAAATACGCCAAATATGTTTTATTTCTTTTTTTTAATGCAAGACAAAAAGGAAACAACAACAACAACAAGAAACAGCACTGCATTGAAATACAATAACATAAAAGACAAAACAACAACAACGACACCTCAATCAGTAAGAAAAATATAAGCCTTCAGAAACGTGTTTTTCTTATTGTAATCAATGCATTTAAGAGATTTAACAACAAGCTGAAGTCTGCAAGAAAGACATCAAATCTAGGTAACATATTGAGAAATTTGGTTTTATGAATAAAAAATCTACAATGCAAAACAAAATGTTCGATAGCATGGTCACTGCCAGAAAAATGCCGAAATATATCTTTCAGTGAAAGTTTTAAATCACATTTTATAAAAGAAGGTAAAGAACAGCTTACGTTCTCCCAAAGAGATTTAACCTCATTGCAATGATAGAATAAATGAAGTGCAGTTTCTTCCTCGACTTTGCAGAATACACATAAGCTAGAGAGATCAAAAAAGAAAAATGCAATTTGGGAGTTCGTTGGATAAACATTATGCACAATCTTAAAATGTACCTCTCTGATTTGATTAGGAATGCAGAATTTTTCAGGGAGTAACCATGCTTTCTTCCAATGAATACTGTCAAAAAAAATGATATTTTATATATTTATATATATCTATCTACTGTTACATTTTTTTTAATCAAGAATACAAACTCCAATGTTTTATTTCTTTTTATTATTATTATTATTATGCTTATAAACAGAACAGAGATTACATTAATGGCATAAAACTTTGTATACAATATACAGAATGTATCAATGTTATCGGAACACATAAGAAAATTAAGAAAAGAAAGAACAAACAATAATAATAAGGATGATAGGTAAGAAATATAACAATGGAGAAATAGGAAAAACTAAAGATAATTTTTTTTAATAATAATAAACCATGAGGGTAAGATGTTAATGTATGCATCAATTAGACTGTACAAATTAAAATAATTACAAATTAATATGTTTTATTCCTGCGGGTTGCGCTTACGTCATCAGCGCGCGCCGAGTTCAACATGGCGAGTGTTGTTTAGTTGTTATTGTTCCGCGGTTCCGAATAAACCCACAATCCTTCAATCCGGCGGCCTTCTCTCGTCTTCATCCACCATGAGCGATGAGAAGCAACCAGAGGGTCGCAATTTCTTCATGGGTTACGATGATCTGAGCGACAGCAGCAGTGACTCGGACGGTCGTGAGTCCGGTGTGAAGAACCGAAGCGAGCCGGAGCCCTCCGGAGCTCCTGAAGCGCAGAGCCGCAACCGAGCCGCA